GGTGGCAGCCTCAAGAGCGCCGCCAGGCCCAAACAAAGTGTCGTTTGGGCCTACCCGCTGGGCTGAGTGCAAAAATCAGGCCTTTAGGGCCTGTGACCCTCAAAGGTCGGGCCTTTAGGCCCTGGTGTGTCCCTCCGGCCCTAAGTCGGGTCCGGTAGGACCCGTGTGACTCGAAGATGTAACAGCTGGGCATTCTGGCCTATGCGGGCATTGCAGACACGCTGCTGCGCTAGCAAGCGAGTCTCTGCATGCGCTAGCTTGGGCTGGGGCGCGTGCGAGCGCTGAGAGGTGAGGGCGCTGCATGGCAGCGGGGCGCTAGCGGCCATAGCCGGGCTGCAGGGAACGGGGCAGAGGAGGGCCACAGGGGGTGTTCGAGAGGAGGCGCAGAAGTGGGTGACGGGATGAAGAGGGGAGACGAGGATACATACCTGGTATATGTGGGAGGTCGGCATTGGTGTTGACAACATGTACATTAGTCTTCGAAGCCGAAGTGAGCCTGTTATATGAACGCAGATAGGCTAGGCAGGCAAGTAGAGTAGGCTGGGTGCTGGGTGCCGGATGGAGAGGAGCGACATTGAATACTGTGTTGGTGTGAGGGCTTGAACAGTGGTTCACGGGTTCATTGTATTGCTCTTATTTGGATGGAATCTTGGTGCATTTCAGCTCTCTGCTTGTACATGACTACCTGGACTTCTGCATGATTTTGCAATTTGGTGTTCTGTATATCGTTCTCGCTCATATTTCTTGCACTACACTCATGAGTGTATCTCACCTGAATATCATCTGTATGCATACAGTAACGTGAGTGAGAACTCACACACACACACACACACACACACACACACACACACACACACACACACACAGATTTCTTGGGGCCGTTGCTGAGCGAGGCCGTCAGAAAACTTTTCCTTTGTCGACATGCATTTTTCTGAGGGGAAGGGTGGGGTATGCTACCAACTCCCCATCCCCCCCCCACCTTTTTTTTGACCCCGATTTTTGGCCGTGCGCCAACTCACGTGATGCGCCCCAACTATGCAGCACACACATATTTCTTTTCCTTTTCTCAAAATCAAAGACCGAGAAATCTTGACCTAGCCCCTCAGCCATCTTGTCCAGAGCCTGTCAGGACAGATCACCTGTGACATGAAGAAACAAAGCCGAGGTGAGTATCATGAAGTCGTTCCCAAAAGCTCAGTGTAAAGAGCACTACCGTCTTCACCCAAACGTAACGCCTTGGCGTTGTATATATCCGTTTACAACTCCCAGACGTTACATTCAGTAAATTGGTAGCAACTTCGGTGGGGCCCCGATTTTTTTTTTTTTAACCAAGAGATTCTGAGAGAGCATATTGTCTAGAATTGAAATGCAACCAACTTCTGGCTGAGGGTCACTTGGAATTCCTTATAAATTCGGAAATAAAGAAAGAATGACAAAATTTATACCCCTCGGAAGTCAAAAACTCTTTCAACCCCATTTAAAATCCATGACTATTCCCCTTCCACCCCCCTCTACAAGGTGATCTGCTCATGCCACATTCCCGGGGGCGTTATAAAGGAGAAATTCAATATAAATCCAGAGGCATTATTTTCAGATGAAGACGGTATGGATGCAGTTAGGATCAGCATCACGAGTAGAGAAAGTTGACAGGCACCACAGCCAAAAGAGTACTCCGTGGTGAGAAGGGGTTGAAAAACTAAATGGCAGAAACCAACAGCCGAACGGGCCACTTCAATCCGTTTCCTCCACATCAGCTCTAGAACCTCAAGAGGACATTTGGCAGCCAGGGGTGACTGAGAAGAGCATCTCAGGAGCTCGACCTTCAAAAAAAAAACAAGGTTAGTGAGTAGGGAGGGATACCAGGGGTTAAGCAGTGGTATATCCTGACTGTCAGGGAAGAAATCAATGACGCTGTCTCAGGGTCTCTCAGCTAACACAGAGAAGCATTGAGTGAGTTCAACTACATGAGCGATGTTGGACAAGGTTTCCAGCTTTTAATATGCAAGTCCTGCTTTATAAAAAAGAAAAAAGTGTGCACCCTGTAACTTCCATCAACTTGGGAGAAGGTCGAACCCTCCGCAGTCAGCAGAGCCTTCTCCCCTGATGCTCTAAAGCAACACTGTGCCTTCACCTCAACACCTGGTGGACATGAAGGGACCCTGAGAAGGCCCACTGTAATGGAGTGTGACCTTTTTCAAGGCTAGCACAGACAGCTGCTCTTTATAAGTTACCCAGCACCCTAGAGGATGAATAAGATGAAACCCTGTTGCTACCCTGGAAATGTCATAGTCCGGTGAGGGCTGATCTTAGTATACTGTGGAATGCACAAGCAATTGACATACCAAAACACTGCGGCAATCTTCATGTCCAGAGGCTCCTGAAGTACATTCACTGCCTTCCCTCAGGTCATGTTGTCTTAGGGTGCCATCCTCGCTAGCACTCCAAACCACATGGGGGTTTCCTTCTTCGACCTGGGCAACAACCACAATTAGCCATTGACAAGTCAGAGACTCAAAAACAGACAAATGCATGAAAGGGGGAGAAAACAAAACACGACATGACAAAGATGGGACAATCTATGAAAGGGCAGAATGAGAAGAATAGGGATTATTTGACATAGCCTGACCAAACATGCCAAAAACGAAAGTGCTTTTCTCCGACACCAAAGACAATCACAGATCAGATGAATGCAATGACTTGCTGGTTCCAGGTTGCCTGTAGCCTCTCTCAGACGAGGCTGTCCCATAGGTAGGGACAGATTCGAAATTTTGTTTGGCTGAGGGCTAACCGAGAGACCTACCTGTAAGGAAAATTCGTGAGGGACATATTTGTAAATATAGGAGATATGGGCCCAGTACTAACTCGAATTTCCTACAGTTACCCTAACTGCGAATAGCAGACCCGGGCTACCCCTAGGACAGACAGGCCCAATGGGCCTATGCTGATAGACAGTCCTATAGCCTATAGCCGGGTAGGGAGAGGCCCTAGAGGCCGAAACAGAAACGGTACCGGTCGGTCAGTCAGTCCGGTCTAGGTCGTGTCTAGGCAAGTCTGGGGTATAGATAGGATGGGGACATCGATCCTGGGCTTTTGGCAGTTGACACTTCATGGTGAAAGTTGCTGCGCACACGGTATCAGGTCGTGGTTGCTAATTCCGGTGTGGGAGACGGCGGACATAGCCAGACCTTCGGAGCACTGACCAGACTGGGGTCAACGCTGTCCGCTCTGACTCTCTGGGAGTCAAAGCGGTCTGGGCTATCAGAGGTCTGATGTGTTGGAGCATGTGGTGCACTGCTGACCCTCCTCAGGAGTAGGGTCCCAGTGGCGATGCAGCCATAGCTGCATCTTCTCAGAGGATATCATCGTTTGGACTTCATCTTCATCAGGGACTGTTGGCGCTGAGCTTCTTCTTCATCATGGGGGCGATTGGCTCTGGGAGCCTGTTTCACCTTGGCGCAGGCCACTGAGTTGGATGTCAGGGTGGCGCTGGGTGTTACCTGGGGTTCTGGCGTTATTTTTAGCTGCTCGGTGTGCGTGGGGTTGAGGCGCTACCCCTCTGAGGGTAGCGCAACAGGGACCTGAGGTTATTCAGGGAAAACGATGCTCTGAGTTTAATAAACAATTGTAATATTGTGTTTGAGTTGTCATCTCTTCATTGATTTCTGGCTGTGATCACTCGGTTGTCTTCTATGAATGATTGTTGGGACTTGTGTGGAGAGGATCCACAATTTTGTGTGTTCTGTCACTTCGCTCCTCTGAGTCTTCCGCTGCGTTCCTTTTGTTGGGCGGTGTGACACTTGTTACGATCCTGGCCAAATTCGAAGTATACATTCATCTGAAAGTACAATGCCATCCAATTGCAAAAGAAATGAATGAACTTGAGAGGAAAGAGAGGGAAAGAAGAAGAAGAAGAAGTGAGAAAGAAGAAGATGATGATGTACTCCAGCATAGACCAATGTCAAGGCTTTTCTTCTTCGCCAACCAATCCCTTCCTCCTTATCTCCTCCCTCTTATTCAAACAAGAAGTAACAATAATAATGTTGAATGACTGAACCAGAATCAATGTCTGAATCCCACTTCTACTGCAGGCACAACATGAGGCCCACCATAGCCATGGCCACCCTTCCTCTTCCTCTACATTCAGGCCGAGGCTATGGTGGACTATTGAGGCTTCAACCTCCTGTCCAAAGGACAACCCAAAGCAGCTATGTCGCTGCCCCACTTCAAGGTCATCACCATGCAGCTATACCGCTGCCCACTCAGCCACCATGCCTGACTCTGTCCCGAGCTTCCTTGATGCGGCACTACCCCAACGGGGCCTTCCTGATGCAGCGCCTAGCAAGGAGATGAAGATGGTGTCTACCATAGCCAGGTAAGTGCCTCGCCACTTTCCTCCTTGGTCCCCTTCTCCCTCCTCCTCCTACCGGTAGAGCTCCACCATAGCCGA